TCCCTGACATTTTGATAGAATTTTCCATCATTTATGAGACAATGCTTTCCCACCACTGACAGAACTTTCCGGCTTTCTGTGTTTTCAGTGGTGTACGGTAGGAGGTACTAATACACACCTTCAGAAAGAGTGCTGAATCTCTGGTTCTGATTTTTTTTTTTTTTTTTTGGCAAAATGTTATTACATTTACCCACATTCAAGTTATAAAAAAATAATTCATGAAGCTTTATTTTATTTTACATTTTTCGTATTTATTTATTCATACATTCATTCGTTCAAAAAAAAAACTTAAAAAAAAAAACTGGTTGGCAGGGAAAGAGTTAAAAGAAAAAAATGGTTATTTTAAGAACTGTGCACTGAAAAGTTAATCGGAGAACCAAAAATGGTTCTTCTTTGACTTAAATGCAAAAACTCCGATTTAGAACCTTTATTTTTAAGAGTGTACCTTTACCTTTACCTTTGAAAAATCTGGCACTTCCGAAAACTAATACTCTTTGGTTTGCCATAACAACTAAAAATAACAGAAGCTGATTGTGTAGAGTGCGACAGAAACATTGAGTCAGAGACCGGCTTTGTGAAGCAGGACAATGGCTTCTCCATCCTGTGTGTCCTCAACTGTACGTAAGTGCACAACAAACACAAAAGTCTTCAACAACAGGCCTCTTTTCAACTGCTTTCAAAGGCTTTGAGATGGTGACCCTCTATGATAAAGGCCACGTTATGCTCTCACTCAAGCAATTACAATGAATAACAAATATACACATGGTGAAGACTTGTCCGTCAATTTAAGTTGAGCACACTGAATGCGTTTCAGATGCTAGCGTCATCGGGAATAACACAAAACAATGCAACACAATGTGGGTTTTTTTGAGTGAATGGTCTAATTCAATAGTCCAGGCTTTTCAAACTCCTGGAAATTTGTTTGTCATTGATTCATCATCCACCTTCCCTGCTGTGATCCAGATTTCTTTATTGATTCGGATGTAGGGTGCTCAGTCTAGCAGCACTGTATTCTTTTACTCCAGTCATTAGACATCGATCTGGCCAAACTTTTCATTTTCCAGTCAGATGAATTCAGTGGGGCGGAGAGCCATCTTTCATCCCCAGAGTCGCAAAGGAGCTCTAATTTTCAGAGACATGCTGCAACAAGTTGTGCGTTTAGATGCAATTAAACGATTCGGCCTTCATAATCTCAAAATCAATAAGTCATATACTGCAAACCATGCGTTACTCTGTCTCCCTATTTAGGATTGAATATTAGGGTGAAAAACTCAAATTAATCTCTTGAAACTGTTATTAACATTACAACTTGTGACATGCACCTGTCAACAGGCTGTCAAAATACTGCCACATATTCCATTTTCTAAATGTTTAAATGACTTCATATCTTCTGCAACAGCAAACGCTACAACTTTCAAAGCTTTTTTTATATATATATTGTTGGGGGGGAACAGTCAGTTTCTGTAAAGGGAGACTCTGCAGTCATCCTATGCAGTCATCCAAGATATTGATTTCACAAGACAGCGCTAACACGCGCAATGCAGTCATGCTAAGCCTCTATCTTGACAGATGGGTGAAAAATGAAGGTTGGCGAGTCAAACACAGTGTACAAACCTTCTACAAATGAAGCAAACCCTTTGAGAAGATGTCCACAAGTAAAAGGTGCGAGAATGTCACATTTCTGTTCATGCTGATGTGCTATTTAATGTGTTTACCATCTCTGCCTGATGCATTGCTTTTATTCTTAAGCAGTCCATTGATTCAAAACCCACATCAGTTTAATTTCATTTTTAAAAAATACCTTTATTGAAAAACTATGCATTAGCTTTCAGTTTGTTCTACCTCTCCAATGACTGTGATTTTGCCATGTCCAACATGTTCCTGGATCAACATTCATGGTGCTGGAATTAAATTTTTATCAACCCATCAGGCTTTAGGGTGTGGGCTGGGGCTTCAACTAATGGAAACAATGTGAAAACTCCATTCATTTTCTTCAAAAGGAAATTGATTTCTAAAGATTTTAAAGCCTGTGCAACCAAAAAGCCTCTTTTTGTGGTAAAGGGGTCATCAGATGCCCATTTTCCACAAGTTGACATGATTCTTTAGGGTCTTAATGAAAATTCTATAACATACTTTGGTTAAAAATGGAAAACAACACCCTTTTTACCCTGTCAAAAACAGCTCTTTTCAGAGCAAACCGTTTTCTTGCATGCTGCTTTAAATGCAAATGAGCTCTGCTTACCCCACCCCTCTCTTCCGAGCCACTCTCTGAGAGACGGTAAACTTTAGCCGCATTCATCGTGAAACTTGCTAACTAGCACGTTATTAGGAAAGGCGATTTGCAAAGATTCATTAAAAAACGTATACTCACTTCTTCTGTAGGTGAGGCTGGATCACGAATGATTCGCGCGAACATAGACACATTTATGTAGATTTGGGGGTGCATTCCCTTCACAAACAAACGCAATCCACTGCGTCTTCAGCCGCTCAGATGTTGGGAGTAAATGACTATTGCTATGTTCATTATTACATCCAACAACAAAACACTTCAATCACTTAGGAGCCATCTGCTCCGGCGTTGAAACAATGGCGGACTGATGACAGCTCACTCAGGGCAGGTCTAAGGTAAGACACCAGTCCAGTCTGTGCTGAAACGCTAGAGTCAATCAACAATCGTGGGAGGGTCTGGGTCTGTGTGGTGTCACACAGACAAGAAGCTGAAAACGGCTTGATTTGAGAAAGGGGTAATGATTTTAGTAGATTAAAAAAAAAAAAAACACTGTGTGTATTTTTAGCATTATGATGTAAAAGTGCATTTCGCATCTGATGAGCCCTTTAAAAAAGTCAGGATTTACTAAAAACATGCAGTGAAACATTTGCAATGATTATTAAATGGCCAAATAAGCATGCCATAGCCCAATTTGCACCTGAATTATTCTTTTCTACTCTTCTGAAATGGGTGGATTTGAAATTGTGACGTCACTTTTCACCATAACACCCCTTAACAAGCCTCATTGTATGTAACCAAGGAGGTGCATTCTGAACAACTCATGTCTGTCTATTAATTAGAAGAGTCAAACTGCTGTTGGAAAAAGATGTTGAGTAATACCACCAAACTCAGTTGCTGTTCTGTCAGTGGATGTAAAAAAAAAAACTACACTTCCAAAAACTTTGTATAACCTTTGTAAAGACCCAAGCATTAGAAATGCAGGGCTTAAGTTTATTTTTATGATGAGCCTGAGCGACTGAAACATAAAGTTTTCATTTGTTCTTCAAATTTCACAACAGATTAAAAATATATTTTTTACTGAAAGAGACTGTCGTTTCTAGCATTTTGCCCTCAGATGCAACACAGGTGAGTACATTTATTGTGTTTGTAATCAGTGTCACGCCCCTGGACTGTCTGTGTGTGTTTTCTTCCCCATGTGCTCCCCGTGACCCAGTTTCTCTCTTGTGTGATTATATGATTTGGTTCAGGTGTGTCTCGTTAATTATCCCTCATTAAGTTTAGTATTTAAAGTGTAGTCTGCCTCATGTTTCCTTGTCGGGTCTTGAACGTTGTGATGTGCTACGTGTGTCTCTAACCAGCTGACACATGTTCAGTTTGTTTTGTCATAGTTTTCTTTGTGTTTCCTGTTTGGTTCCTGTTTTTCCTTATTTGGTCATGTTCCTGTGTTCATTAGTTCTGTTGCTCATTGTTTAATTATTAGTTTACCAGTATCACCTGTGTCTAGTTAATTACCCTCGTTTCTCTTGTATTTAAGCCCCAGTCTGTTCAGTCTTTGTTTCTCCAGTCACAGTGATTCTACGTTGTGTTTCCCATTGTCCTTCTGCCCTTTTTTGTTATTAAACTGAGAATTTGTTTGCACCAGCTGTCTCCTTCGCCTTCCTCTTGACACAACCGTGCAGTGTTGCCAATTTAGCTACTTTGTAGCTAGATTTAGCGACTTCCCCGCCCCTTTTGAGACTTTTTTCAAACGTTTAGGGACAAATATAGCAACTGCTTGGACAAACCTTATCTAAGTTCTCATCTTGCCCACTGATCTACGTTCATCTTTATATAGATCAGTGAATTTGCCATTGTGATGTCATCTAGTGACATTTAGTTACCAGTTTTAGCTACTTTCAATTGAAAGCAGTTGGCAACACTGCTACCGTGACAGATGACCTGACCTAAAAACATGATGACAAGGGCTGAGGACAGGCTGTGTGGGCTACGGCAAAGTGGTCGGACATTGGAGGGATATGTGGAGGAATTCTTCTAACTTTCCAACAGGGTGAGCTGG